TAAACCCTGCTACAGAGCTCCGAGCACTCAGAGCCACAAGATGCTACGAGCCTCCACGAGAGAGAGAGAGAGAGAGAGAGAGAGAGAGAGAGAGAGAGAGAACAACGCGGGGGCCCACGTGACATCGCATGGCGCCTGCTCCCGGTTGCAGAGCACCTTGTCCTCCGCACAGTCCACCTGGAGCCAAGCTCAACCCAAGGAATTCCCCCCCCCCCTGCGGCAACCCTCCGCCTCGGCAAAGCGGACACGGGGCAAGAAAGCAGCGCCGTGACCGTTCAGCTTCGCGTTCAGGATTGCGCTCTGTCTCCTGCAGACCCCAAGAAACAGAAAGACACCCTAGGCACGCGACAAGAAGACGCGACAGATCTTCAATAAGGGCAGATCAAGCTACATACTGGAGCAATCGATCTCACAGAAATGTTGGAGCATCTTGCAGCAAATGTCGGTCGGTGACAAGAAACTGCTGGCTCAACTGAGAAGTTGAGAGCCTACAAGACCTCGATCCGCTTCGAGAGGACCGAGAGTTGCACCGTCGTACTGAAGCAACACGCTCTTCCAACACTTAGTTTCTCTGACAGTGCACCCGGCTCCGGGAGCTTTTGGCTCGCCCGTGCTCTTGGAATTCTGGGACATGCTGAGGCAGATGCCTGTGGTTCTTGCTGACCACGAGCGTTATGGGAAAACATTGAAGGGACACACCCCCGCTTACTTGTCGTAGTGCAGTTCAAGACCTTAGATGCGACCAACCCCAGGCCGTGTCTAGATCAGCTGCACGTTCAGGTCGAGCTTCCTTCACGTTCACCAACACAACGACCACGCTACCACCAAAACTACCACCATGACCACCAGAACAACCGACATCGGCATGGTCACCATCGTCATCATCGCGCCACCATCACCATCACCAGCAGCAACAACAGCATCGTCGTCATCTCATCACAGTCGTCCGGTACAGATGAGTGAAATCGAATACTGTTTGGAATCTACTGGAAAATTCGCATGCTATGAGGCTGAGGATGAGGACGATGATGATGATGATGATGACGATGACGGTGATGATGATGATGATGACGACGATGATGATGACGACGAAGATGATGACGATGACGGTGAAGAAACTACAGAAAAGCATATTGATCGGGATGGCGGTCAAAGCTCTCATAAAGCCCTAATACTGCGGCTTTTGGGTGGTATTCTAAGATTCCCCGCAGTTCTGTATCTTTTCCGATGGTTGCTGGAATAAATTGTGCTGTTTCTGGTCGAGTTGAAGTATGATTGCGGTGATACGGCGAATATGAGTATCATGTGAGCATCATTCTCGCGAATGTTGCAAACACTACAGCAAGCTTGTGTTATCGCCCTAGCTCCATACTGCTAAGACTGCTGTGCACGATTTGATCTGTACGAGCATGGCGCTGTTTCTGAGCTCCTTTCTGTGGTGACTTCTGAGACTGTTGATGGCTATAACAATGACTACTACTGCTGAAGAGTCTGTCCGTCCAGCTTGTACCGACGAACATCACAAGTCCAAACCACATGACAATGACCATCCACAGTCAGCAAAGGCTCGATCAACGTGGGCCTCCAAGCGAGCAATCTTCGCCCGAAGGGCCTGCCAGGCCCAGCCACGCAGAACTGACAACTTCATGGGCTTCAAGTATGGGTTTAAGGGCTGGGATAGACAAGTGCACCACACAAAGCAACACTGGCCAGCTCAAAACCAAGCTGACACAGTACCTACAAACCCTCCCGGCTGTAGCTAGTAATCTTCGTGGCAATCCCCAGCTTGCCTTGTTCTCCTGCAGCAGCTCTAGGATTCGCTCACCCTTTGGGTCGCGATTCACCACCGCCTGTTCAGACAGTACAAGCGGAGAAGCATTGCAAGCCCACCGAGGCCGGAGGCCGGGGCATTCAGAGCAGCTTCCGTGAGCCATGTAATTCATTATGCCCTTCCTCTTTAGGAGGACCTGGACACGATGCGCTTCTGTGCCACCCCTCCCCCGGCCCTCCTCCCCGCTGCCCCCGCCCCCCTCGCTTCCAGGACTTGTTTTGCCGTTGTTCGCATCCACTCCCTCGCCTCCGCTTCGTTCTTCCCGGGCTAGGGTGACGACCGGGACAGCGCCAAGAATGGCAGCAAAGGAATCGCCACTGGTTTCATTCCCTTGCTGATCCTTTGACGTAAGTTTCAACGACTGAACACAGCTGCAGACAAGCATAGCCAGATTCGGAACTGGCTCCGAGGTGGCTCTCGCTCTAGCGGTTGGATCTAACATGTCCACAAAAGACTCTGGTCAGATACACATAATATCGCCGAAGGTGGTGCGGAGGACTCCAAAAACGTGACATTTGCTGCATCGCCTTGTTCTCGATCTTCTTGGCGCGCTCGGCAAAGCGCAAACTCGACAAAGTTTCATCCACGTTGATTTTCGCAGGAGATACATTACAAATCATCACCTGTGCTTCCGTCATCACAAAGTCAAATGCTTGCAGATTGAGCTCTGGTGAAAACACGGGACTGCATGTCACCGCCATACTGCGAATAGACTGAAATGACATCCTCTCCGGGAAAAACGAACCTCAACAGCCAAGAGTCGGTATACGAGTTGCCACCGAGCGAGTCTTGCAACATGCGCGTCAGCTTGGAGTCCCTGTAGGGAATGTGACGGCCTGCGCTGGTCAAGACAGCTGCTGCAACGAGCCCTCGCAATGCCTTGCATACCAAGACCGATGCCCTGTCTAAGTCTCGCCCTCATGAGGCAGTTGAACAAGACGAAGACTGCACGCCTCCGATCCACTACGACCCGTTTCTGTGTGAAGTACGCATATATTTCTGTACATGTGTACATACATACGCACACACACACACATACATACATACATACATACATACATACCTTCCTACGTACGTACGTACGTACGTGCAAAACATACGACGTACATACATAAGCGCGCACAAACACAAACATACAATCATATGCTTGTGTAATGAGGTGGAATGGGGAGTGCGTGTGCAACTTTGATCGTGTTGTTTGGTCGTCTTTATAATATTGCTTTTCAGGATGAGACTGCTCATCACAGCGCCGGTGCGGCAACAACGTGCAGAAGCCTACTCGAATTAGCCTGTCCCGAAGGAGCTGTGCGAGCAGTTCTACGAAG